ACACAACATGTTTTTTCACTTTGCGATACAGTATTGTTATACAAAGAAGGTGTGGTGATTCCATACACACTGCAGAAGCAAATACTAAAGGATTTTCATACTGGTCATCCGGGCAGCACTAGGATAAAGAGCCTAATGCGAAGTTTTGTATATTGGCCGAATATGGACAGGTATATTGAGAACGCAGTGGCAAAAAGTAAAGGCTGTGCTTTAGCTGCAAAGGCACCCCCAATAAAATTTAACCCTAGGTTACATGTGGATTTCACAGGTCCACTGAATGGATACCATTACATCATAGTAGTGGATAGTTTCTCGAAATGGCCTGAGATACAAAGGATAAGAAAACCGACGACGCAAAGTACTAAAAACTTCCTGCTGGAATTGTTCGCAAGGTGTGGTGTAGTAGACACAATTGTGACGGACAACGGAAGTCAGTTTACGTCGAAACAATTTAAAGATTTCTGCAAGGAACATGTCGAACATGTTACCACAGCTCCATATCACCCAAGATCAAACGGGTTAGCTGAAAAATTTGTGGACACTGAAAAGAGCTCTAAAGAAAGCTAGGGAAATATCTGCAGATGAAGCCCTACAGAAGTTTCTACAGGTATACAGAATTACCGCAAATAATGGAACACCAGCCTCACAATTGCCAGCCGAGGTGATGTTTTCACGTCAGGTAAGATCTGTCTTCAACAAATTACGACCAAAAAAGACAAAGCCAGGTAGAGAAAAATTTATTCAAGTAAAAAAATACAATCCTGGTGAAAAAGTATGCTTTAAGGTCTATAAACAGAATAAATCATTCTGGGAGATTGGAAAAATAGATAAGCGGATTGGCAATATGATGTACTTGGTGAAAGGCAAAAAATTCATGTGCAGACGGCACATTAACCAGATCAGACGGCACTCTTCAGACGTGGTTGACAGCGGCCCCACGGAAGAAACACCGATGGAAGTGATTTTCGATATGTTTGGTCTAACAACGCCTACAACAATTTTACCTGAGGTACGCCGATCCAGGAGAAAAAGAAAGGCAATTGATCACTTAAAAGTGGATCCAAAACGTAGGCGATATTGCTAAAAAAATGAAGTTTTTTTTTGTTTTTTCTTCATATTTCCTGTAAAAAATAAATAAAGAAAACTGTTTTACTCCTACGGAGTAAAGTTTTAGGAGGGGTTGTTATGGTGAAACACACCTATTCTATAGTTAATAGACTCTTCCACCTAATATAAGTAGGAGTAGTAAGAGAAACGAGGGTCAGTCGATGTCGGACGACAGTTAGTCGAATACGAAAGTAGTCAGCAACCACAAAAAGATTACTCTGCGTAATACCTATTATATCAAGTTCCTAACATTTTGTACATCAAACCTATTTAGGACCGATTTAGTACAAATACAAGCCTCCACTGCGAAATAACTCCACAACAGTTTATGATCAAGTTTTGATGAGTAACAAGTGTATTTAGCATTATGGGCAATATCAATGCACTAAGGATAGTTATTGGAGAAAGTTAAGATTGACACAAGGCAATATTTAATGATTATCTTTAAATATTGCCTTGTGTCAATCTGTAGCGATTGCTATGTTTTTCCACACCCACATTTTATTCACCTGCGATTGGCTAATAAATCACTACTACTTTTATATAGGACAATTTAGAATTTTGAATCCTTCTGTTTTGAGCTTGCTTGCTTGTTCTCTTAGTACGAATGTAGTGATTGGTTAATTTTTAACCAATCACATATTTTAGTGCAAGATTAAGTTTTCCCATGTTGCCGTGGGAGCCTACCCTTTTTCCATAAAAGAGGCGACATTTTCACAAGTTGTCAGTAAGATCCAATAAAATTCGCCTGTCCATACAAGTCCACGATCTTGCTCATAACATTTCAAACGCACACACAGACACAGAATTTCGTAATATAAACTTACATTTCTCTCTGTGACTTAGCCAAGCTCAATCAACCAGGACTCTGTTGATTTCGAACCATTCTATAACACAACACATTTTTGATCAATTGTATTATTGTGTTATCTATTCTAACAAACAGACCTTGTTCTAATATTGATTCCTGAACATTTTTCTCTCAAAAAGAACTTTCTCCGACCAATCAATTACAAATCAAAATACAATTAAAGGGGAACAACTTCTTTCCCTTAATCTATACATTGAATACAATTTTATTGCATGTTTGTTCTTGTATGTTATTTCAATATATACTTGTTGATTCACAGTTTGGTATTTGTTGTTTACTTGAATCCCGTACGTTGAAAGTATAATAATATAAATAGTATTGGTCTATCTACAAAAGGACACCTTTACAATTGGTAACCCCAATGTTCCAAAAATGAATCTTTCAACTGATAGGCCCTTACAAATCTAACTTTTTCCAATAATCTACACTTTGAAAAATATTAAAAAATTTAGGTGGAAAAAAAAAAACAACCTCTGTCCCTTTTCCACTATCTAGAGTGAAGACATTTTTTTAAGGCAATTCACCCCAAGCAAGCGGGGAGTGCCACTAGCACACAATGGGTTACAGAGGATTGAGAACAAGAGCAAAGAGGTGTGTTTGAGGAGGATGGGGAACAAGCTCAGGGTGTCAGATTGTGGTGAACAGCCCCATAGAAGCAAGCGAGCCAGAGTGGCTTGCATCTGGTGTATAGGAAAATAAGGGTCTTACCTTAACGTGCGGCACGTGACATCAGCAAGTTTGCTTCATGAAAATGGCATTACTCGCCCGTCTAGCCATTCTAGCAGTATGTGCAGTGATGAGGGTTTTTTGTACAGTTTGGCATGCTTTCACCAATAGCAAGTGGTGTGCTGATTGGTCGAACTGGAGGAGGCAATTTGCCTGTGTAACCGAGAATAACAGCGAAGAACGTTGATTGGCTGGTTAACTGCAGTATTGGCCTAATAAAAGAGTGCTGGAGCAGTGAAAAAGGGGATAGAAATGTCGACTATATGTAGTGACGTGTGAAGAAAGCGAGGACAGTGAATTGAACCAGCGATATTTTGATTTGTACAAGTGGCATTGCAGCAATACAGACTTATTTAAATTACACAGATGTCGGTTGACATTATACTTGAATATTTGATGATTATAGTCACTGTGGAAGCAAGTAAGGAGAATGGAGTTCCACAGACGGGAAGAGCCAAAGAAGAAGCTGTTTGAGAAGAAGGGACAGTTACATTTAACCATTTTGACAGTGAAAAGGTGAGACCAAGATGCCAGCCTAGTAGCACGTTTAAATTCATGAAGTACGGGAACCAGCAACAGTAGATTGTCAGAACAGTTGCTGTGAAAATATTTGTAAAAGAGACAGAGGGAGGCCACAGCACATCTGTGGGATAGCGATTGTAGACTAGATGCCAGATCAGGACCTATCATCTTGCATACTTGTCTCTAGATTTTGTCAAGGACCTTGAGACCTACAGTGGGAGCACCAGACCATATATGACAGTGTTATACTGGAACATACCTATTCTACTGTTAATAGACTCTCCCACTGATAATAAGTAGTAGCAGTCGCCAGGGAGCTGAGTGAGTTGGTGAGTCAGTCGATGTCAGACATTAAAGTATCAACCACCACAACTAGATTGCTGCATCATTAACTATTATAACAAGTTCCTAACGTTTTGTACGTTGAACCTTTTTAGGAACGACTTAGTGAAATACAAGCCTCCACTGTGAAACTACTTTATAACAGACAGCAATATTCCAAGCAAGGACGAATGGATTTCTAACAAATTGTCTTCAGATGGGACATTTTTGATAAGCCTTGTCACTGAACCTGATTATGGCAACACTATATCTAGTATAGAGTAATAAAAAAAGGCTTAAGAAACAAATCCATTCAAAATAATTTCCAATGGAAAGGACAGAAATTGAAAAACGTGAGATAAATTGGAAAAGTTGTTTATCGAGCAAGTTGGAACATATAAGCAGAGCCATCAACTGGTTTAATCACTATTCATCATGATTCCATTCAGCAGAGCAATTAACCGTAGCAGTGAGTTTACAAAAGAGGACATTAGATACCCTGGAAGCAATAAAAAACTCTTGAACACGCAAAAACTGAAAACAAATAATTTTTGAACTTGTTTACCTGAAAGAAACATGCATCCAGACCAAGTTTCCCTTAATAATATATTGACGCACTCTCTTATATTAATTCTACAAGGTTGTACCAATTTCTGACACTTTTCTATAAATGACATTCAGCAACTCTTTCCATTCAACAAGTAAATACTCCTGCTTTAATGTTGACTTATCAATTTCCAAAACAACTTAACAAAATTTGATAACATGTCATGAACTTCATTGACACATTACACTCTCTACCAAGGATTTTTCAAACTTCTTTTCACTTCACTAAGTCTGTACTTTACGAAAATTTTTGTTTGCCTAGCTTAATTTTTCTAGGTTCTCAAAAGAATATTTTTGGCAACCCTTCTACACCTATCTTTCTTTTCACATTAAATATTATAAATAAACAATTTCTTTCCACTTCAATTTCATACTGAATTTTTCTTGTTTTGAAGAAATTAAAAACTAAAAATAAGGGTTTGCTTTGCACTATACTATATGGCTTACACCGATAAGCCATGAAATTACTGGCACACTTTTTATTACATAAAAAAGTATAATTGGGAAAAACCAAAATTCACTACATGAAAAATATTACTAGGTTTCCAGAATTTCAGATAAAAGAGTTTTTTGCACCTGTAATAATTATAATGGTAATTAATTACTTTAATCTCGAAATACACCTGCTTCTCGGAGTGACCTCCCTTGATTGTTTCTATGCCAACTGCGTTTGTTGCCATTGACTTGTAAATCTATTTTGTCTTTTTAGAAGAAAAACAAAACAAATCTGTGTTTTACATAAAGAAAAGAAAAGATGGCAGCCGCAGTTGAGACAACGATTAATAGCCGGGAAATGCCTCCAGTGTTAGAAAATGCTGATATCGGCACTGGGTGTCGGGATAAAAATATGGAAATCACTTTCACAGGTAATACGGGGAATGATGTAGGAATTTCGACGGCTGGGTATCGTACCAATAAATTCAACCAGAAGGAATGGCGTGAAAATAATTATGCCCTGTATTTACAATCTTTTAAAGACAGGTAAGAAAGAAAGAATTGATAATTATGGATGTTGAGGAAATTAGAAAAACAACTTTTTAAAAACGAAACCCATTCAAAAAATGTTCTTTAATTTCGTCAATGCCAATTTCGTGGTCCAGAATGTCAAACTAAAATATTTTTACCATGACTTTCAAAATAAAAAAGCAAAGTAATAATAATGTCAATCATTTGTGAATATATCCTGAAAGTTTTATTAAAATCCGACCGTCTTTTCTATTTTTTTTTTTTTTTTCTCAAGATTTTCAAAATTTATGTCTGTCACTGCAAAAAAAGGCGCTAAAATTTGCAATGTTATTTAATGACACTTTCGCAAAGAGAAATATGATTTTTTTAATTAAAAAATAGAATGTTCTAAAAAAAAAAGGATGCAAAAATTTTAAAAAATAATGAAAAAAATACTTTGGTCTTTCCTCTTAATAATAACATAAACATTTATTTTAGACAATAAAATTTCATTTTCATCAAGTTTAAGGCTGTTTTTATCATGCTGCTATGATGCTTTTTTTTCTTAGCGATTTCATGAAGGTACCTATGTCAAAGTGACGATGATCTTGCAGGTTTAGTTTTATGCTTCAAACATTTTTTTAGAAGAAATATACATACATATAAAGAGATTTATAAATCCATTGTATTTTAAATGACAATGATAAAGAAATAAATACAAGGAGAAATGTGTTGCCGTAAGAAGACTGTTGGTAAATTTGTACTCCCCACCCACTTTTATTCTTTTTAATCTTAGAGAAAAAAACTAAAGCAAATGATTGCGCGGTTTTTTTTTTTTTTTACAAAAAAAAAAATCCGCATGAAAAAGTTGAAAATCATAGACAAGAGAATAAAGAATTTTGTAGACATCATGAAAAATATTGTTTCCTTCTTAAATCCTTACTTATTTGAAAACATTTTGAAAAATATGCATGTATTTAGGTAAAAAAAAATAAAGGTAGAAAAATATTTTAATAAATTTTAACAGATCGACAAAATTCTTTAGTAAAAAATTCTTTCTTTTTTCCTATGGAGTACTATTTTTTTTTTTTTTTTTTTTTACCGTTTTTAAGGCAACACTTATCTTTGGTTTTAGCTAAAACTTTTATGAACATATAAAGTTATTTTTAAAAATTATAAGAAATTGATATTTGTGAGGAGAGACGCACAAAAACAACCATGGAGTTGTGAAAACTAAAAAAACAGAATTAGGATTCAAAAGGACACCTATAATTTGTTGCAAATAAACCCGCAAAAATGAGGAATCATTTTTCACCTTCTTACATTTTTTTTTTTTTTTTTTTATCTTTCCGACAATCATTCATTGTTTCATTTTTTGATAATCATATTTTTTAAACTCAATATTTTGATCTCAAGTATATTTGCTTATGTGTGTCTTTAAATGTGATCTTTTTCATTTTGCAAGTCTGTCTTCTTAAGCTACAATTGTTAATTTAGGAATGGTTATTATTATTAAGTTTTGCAAATTTATTTTTAAAATGAACCCATAAACGAATGATATAGACAAAGTTGTTTACAAATACCAAATAGGCCTAAAAAAAAAAAAAACCCCACCGAAACACCGATCCTGACATCAAGGAGTGAAAAGATAGCTGAAAATTAACCTTTTCTTCCTATCATAATGGAAAATACAGTTGTACTGAAAAGGTTTTCCCAAAATCAGTATTCTGATGTTTCATCATTAAAATATAGCCTTGGAAGGTGTGGTCAACAGAAAAATTTCCCAGTATGCTCTTTACCCTCCTCTTTTGTTAATAACAGTTGTCAATTTTTGTAAATAGCTGTACTTACAGCTAGTGAGAATCATTTACTATCGTTATGTACTATTTTTAGCAATAATTTCTCTTCTTTCAGTGATAGAAAGCATGAAATTGTTAATAATAGTTCTACAAAAGTTTGTGACTCGAGATTCATTGCTCGAAAATACAGCAATTGTGGCATGTTTATTTTCTTAGATGTGTTACAAAGCCGAAAGTATGTGGCACCTAGTGAGGATCGAACTCACTTTTCAGTCGTAACTGATTTAGCGAGACAAGTTTGCTAGCCATTACACCACACCGAGGTGCCCCAAATGTTTATGTAACTCATTTATCAAGTTCACTCATATGACATTTAACAGGTGATAAAGAAAGTGGTACATTTTTCGCTCATATGAAATTAATACCAGATGATAAAGAGAGTGACATATTTTTCAGTCACTCATATGAAGTTACCAGATGATAAAGGAAAAAAGAGGCACATTTAAAGAAAAGTAATTTTTTTTCTTATAACTAACACTAGTGTGCAAAACCTTTGGACCACCTTTCTCAGTATATTTTATGATCTTTGAGGGCCAGAAAACAAGTTATTGCATTTTTTTTTTTCGGCCATTAACTTTTAAATAAAACCAAAATTTAACTTCAAAGAAGACCTTTAAATTATTTAAAATGTGTTTTTACTTCATTTTTTTCAGTAAGTCCATTGTGTTACTTAATCATTGTACTGTGAAGATAATTGAATTTCTGCATTTGCTTAATTTTTATTGCAAAATTCATACCTTGACCTGTTTCTTTTCCTCACATTCTGTCTTTTTACAATTTAATGTTTAGTAGGCACCTGCACCTTTTCTAAGAGCTGAACAATGCATTTTAAATAATTTAAATAAATGTCTTCCTTGAAGTTAAATTTTGTTCTTATTAGCTTAAAGAAGCTAATTTACATTTTTAAATAAAGATTTTAAACATTTTTAAACCAAAAACTTAAAAAAACTTCACTTCTCCCAGTCCAATTCGCAAATTTTTTAGATGCTAACAAAAGAGAACTAAAACACTTTAAATATCTTAAAAATCTGATATATTTCCCAGACATTTGTTTTGTAGAAAAATAGTAGATTTAAATTAGATTTTTTACTTAATTCATTCTCCTACACAGAGTATGTTTTTGTTTGTCAACACATTCAAAGGTCAAACAATTGCTATCTTACAACCTATTCATACTGAAACCCTCCATAAAAAAAAACAGTCAAATATTCTTAGCTGTTTCTATAGAAACTAAAAATCGGAGCGGAAGAGTGTTAGTAATGGGAAATAACTCTTAAGTTTTTATTTTGAGTTTCCATAGAATAAAAAAATCAAATTATTAAAAAAAAAAATATTATTTAAAAAAAATGTTCACATTTGAAAATGGCTTTAAATTTCCATTTTTCTTATTCTTCAAACACATCTTTATTCTATATCAGTTTTATCAGAGATGATTGAAATCTGAAAAAAGGTTTTTAAAATATTACTGTAAAAATACAAGTCAATCTTTCACAAACAAATATACATCAGAGAATTTTTTCTTTGAAAACTTAAGCTATACATATTTTATCAAAGTTGATTATCAGCAACTCCCCACAAAAATAATTTTTTTCAATTCTTTTCTGCAGATTTTGGACCATGTTTTTTTATGTGTTCACACTCAACATTAAAAGTTTTTCTTAATAATATAACAGTAATACTTTTGGGGATTTAGCTTTATAAAAATGTAAAAATTAGGAACATCCAAAATTTGCTAGTACAAATTAGGCATGAATTAAGTGAGTGGGGATATGACTGACCTGGGAAAATATTTCAACTAAACTTGAAAAAAAAATTCAATATGAAGTTCATTCATTAATGAATAAACTCTGAAAATTTCAATGAAATCCAATAATTCCCCAATTTTTGATAAACTTTTGAAAACAGGGGATGGCATTCTTTTTTTTACGGCATAATGTAACTTACACTCCAGAACTGGAGGCCTATCTCAAATCTCACCATTCCACTGAGAGCAAAGATTTTTAGTTTTGGTTTGGGTTTTAAGTTCTGGACATGAGTTGCACTATAACTTGGCTTTAACTAAAGGATGCCATGAAACAAAGTGGTATTAGGTATTATTTTATGTTAAGTTTGTCTTATTTAGGAGGTATTTAATGCTTAGTCCTTTCTTATTTTTATGTGGATATTACTCAATTTAATAGAAGAGTACACTGCAATAAAACCTTCAACTGAACATTTTCTTTATTGAAAGCAGAATTGTTATTGCTTTTTTATACATTGTATTAGCATGTCTTCTTTTAGTTTTGTTTATTGAGCACCTTCTTTTTAATTTGTTTTTCTTTATTTTGTTTTGAAAAAAATGAATTGATAAGTTTCCTTATTTTCATATTGTTTTGTTTCTGCCCTCTCTCACCAAAGGGACATTTTGAAACAAGTTTATTAATTAGCTGTTAATGAATTTGAATTCTTATGAAAAATTTCCCCCTCTAGACTTCACTTCAAAAAATTATTTAAACTGAAGTTTTAGGGTTATCTAAGTAAAAGTAATCCTAAGAATTTTGAATAAATAATAAAAAAACGCAAAAAATCCAATACCATAAAAAAAAAAATGTGAGCGAAATTGTAAACAATAATTGTTTATAGATGTTAAGGATAGCTTTATGTAAGAAAATATAACTTTGCCCCTTTTTCAAAAACCATTTTTATTTGATTTTCAGGGAGAACTCTGAGAAAAGTCGTAATGATGCAACAAATCTAATCAATTCAACAGAAGCTATTCTACGCCGGATTGATGATGTCACCAAAAAGTTGGGTGAAAGAATCCTGGACATAAGTTTTTGGAAATTTGAACTTGAACGAGTCATTCAAGATTTGTTGGCAGAAACAGATTTGTTGGTTGCACTTAAAAAGCAACTGGAGAATGCATACAGGGCAACAGAATTGCCTCTCCATATTGTTACAGATAATCTTAATTGTAGACTCAGGCGACAAGGTATCGATCTTGTTGAAGACCCAGTTGAAATGGCTCTCTTGAAAGTAAATTTCATTTTGATTCATTTAAAAAAACAAACGGAATTTATTTATTTCTAAAATTTAATTCTTGATTTTTAAATTTTCAAAATTTTTGCTTCATACAATTCCTTTATCACTCATGAGTTTAGCTGCCAGTAGGTAATTTGATCTCAAAAGCCATCAGTATCAGGTCAAGTCCTTAGTAGATGATCTTTAAATATAGCTTTGTGTTAAACTTGACTTTTTTCCCAACAAATATTGATACTACGGATTATAACTTCCCTTTCCCTAGTCTGGGGATGGGGGGGGGTCACTCCTGCCCCTGGAGCAGAAGCAGAATGCTTCTCCTGTTTTCCTGATGGTTATTCTTATTTGACTCATTTTTAGATGATTTATAATGTGATTTTTGAGCAACAACATATCAGCTACAAAAAGCATTAAGCACGTCTTCCAAATTAGTTATATACTAGCATAAATATATAAAATACCTTTGACAGATTAGTGGGGCCTTGAATTATCAGCACATAACCTCATCAAAGGGATTTTAAATTCTGCAGGCATTGATTTCCTCTCTAAATCAAAATTCATTGTTTTTATTGTTTTGTCCTGTTAAACTAGAATATTTCATGACTTTGAGAAAATATTTCCAATCCAACTGAAATATTCAAATATCTATGGAATTTGTGTGCTTTTCAAAATATTCACTGTTATTTTAAAATTTATCTATTCTTTCCTGTTGGCAATGAATACAATTTTGTCAAACTGATATTTACTATTTTTGAAGTTGAAATTTTGTGCTCCAATTTGGCTTCCAAGACAAGAAAGTAAAAAAAACAAGAAGTAAGAGTAGCTGGGAATTTTTATTTAAAAAAATATGTTCTTCAATCATATTCATTAATGTTGTAATATTAGTAATAGTAGTATTCACAATCACCAATGACAAATTCTATATCCTAACTAACTACTCCGGATTATATAGAGTGTCTCTCATCCATATGCAAATGATCAAACTCTTAAATTTATGTATCATTACAATTAGTAATATTAGTAACTCATCAAATTCCACAAGGCAATAGACTCTACTGATATTACTGTACTAGTTTAATATCATGACTTGTTGGTCTTTAAGATATTTAAACTTTTAAACTGTTTTTCATTTCATCTCCTCTCTTTTTTTTCACCCTTGCCTATCTCTCCATTTCTGATGACTCCATCCAAGTACATTTTTATCTTGATTCTATTGAGGCAATGTAACCAGTAGGCAATGGCTGCAACCACCAATTGTTTCATCAAATAATTTTGTAGTTGTTTTTTCTATCAAAGTTTTGTCGATCTTTTGTCATTTAATTCCTGTTTTGTTATTGATTAAAATCAAAATATTTCTTTTTCATTATTTTTATTAAAAACTTACTTGAAATATCTTCATTTAGTTGTACCCCATTAAGCTAATAATTGTCACCTGCTCTGGTGTTAAAATGGTATATTTCCATACTCCTCCATGAGACTCAGCAAATCAACTTTATATATAGGTTTTGATAGTCAACTTTGTCTGGCATTGATCTGGGGAAAAATCATCAGCTGTTTAATTTGGAAAGAAACAATTATGGATGATGTCAACGACATCATCCATAATTGAGCATTGGCTTCAAAACTCTGAAGTTTATATGACAGTTGCAGATGTTCTGAAATGCGTGTTCATTGCACACATTATTTCAAAGCATGAACAGATGGTGTTACAGTCAGGATTCACAAAGTTTAATATTGGTTTCTTTATTTACTTTCTAAGTTCAAATTTGAGAAAGGAAATTTACATTTGGCCAAGTCTGTGGTTGCATTTTTGTATCATCTATGAAGAGTTCTGAAAAGTTCTTGACTTGAGCCAGAAGGAATTTCAAAGTAAATTCTGATGCTTGGTCATTTATTTTAGTAAGTGACTCAGGCCAGAATTTTTCACCAACCTCATATACAAAACTAATGAATTTCAGAAGATTCAAAGATGAGTATGAATACCCTTGACACATTTCATGATTGTCAACCTTTTAACATTCATGAAATTTTAAACTTTTATTTAGTTATTAATTTTATCATTTTAAGAATGATTTCTTCAGACAATTTGAGTTCAGTATAACAAAACCTATTTCAGTAGGATAAATAAATAATGGTGGATTTATTTAAATTTAAGGAAATTTGTATTTCTCTTTTCTTCAGGAAATGAAGATTATAAATGATGTGAGAGATTTACTGAAAAAAACAATTGCTCGAGCTGAACAGCAAATTGAGTGAGTAAAATATTTGAGAAAGGATTTTATTGCAACACACATAAAATGACACCCTTCACATTAAACAGGATTTCTTCTTTTTTTTTCTTCTCTTTTGCCCTATATATATTCTCAGATGGAGTACATCTGTAGGAGAGGCAAAATGAATGAAAAGACAAGAGGGAAAACTACTTATTTTAGTATTTTTCTGTATCATCATTTGACGGGCTTTATCAAGGCAAATGTGATGGTTTTATTTTGCAACAAGTTACTCAAAATTTTTTAATTTAAGAATGCTCATAAATATTCGGCAGGCTAACTGAAAAGATTTTGGTGTAAGATCCTAGATTACGTAATCTAGCATCTTTGAAAGGAAACTGAAGTTTGCAAGATTGATGACTCAGAAGAAGAGCTTTTTGTTTTGATTTGAAATATAAATTCACATTTTGTCCTATGATAAGATTTGTTTATTATCAATTCTGTGTTCTACCATATGTGAAGTTGTTGGTAACAGATTGGCACAACTGTTTGCTATTGCATACATTACAAAAGAAACTGCATTAAAAAAGAATCTTTAATGTTCAGAAGACATCTTTTTCGAGGTTCTCAGATTAATTCCAGCTGATCAAAAATTGATTTAAAAAAAATGGCAAGCAGAGTTTTGTAGAGGAAGTGCAGTATTTAAAGTAGAAACAGTAAGAATCTCCACTCCAACCCACAATAGAAGCTGACTTTTGAAGAAAAGAAAATGACTCATGCAATGGGACGGTTTTTATGCATTTATCTTTGATTTCACTTGCAGAGCTAACCGTGATGCTAAGCAAAAACTGGAAATGGATTGGAGCGACAAGAAAGAAGCTCTTGAAATTGATAACCGCTGTGGCATGTTAAGGGACCATCACACAGATAAACAGTTTTATCCTGGTTCAGCAAAATTCCAAGAGAAGTATGTAATCCAAGCTGTATTGTTGACTTCCTTTCTCATTGGTTGAATCAAATGTGGATAAATAGATTTTTTTATTTAGAAAACTGATCATTGTAAATTATCCGGTTAATTATTGTGATTTTATCTGTTGTAGTCAGTCAAGTCCTGAATCCTGGGCTCAGCACACACATGACAACATTATTATGGCAGAGAATGAACGTATGTCCTCAATTCAATTGCAAGGGCTCATTCAGAATATTTTGGAAGACACTTCAAAGGATATGGTGGAACAGCACAATAATGTTTTGAAAGAGTTCCAGAAACATCTTCAAGAACTGGATGATTCCAAGTTCAAACTGCAAACACATTTAAAGAAGGTAATTTAAATTAGACAAAACAAAAAATGAATTATTTCCATAAGAACTTTGGTTGCTTCAACAATTATTGATGTAAAGCAACAAAACAAAAACAGAAGCTTGGAGGGTGAGTCTTTTATAGGTGAAGAAGTTGAAAAGTGTTGTTTCAATAAATAGAATAGATTTTATTATCTGGCTGTGAATTTGAGTTCCACCCTAATTGTGAATTGTTAGGTTGATGCAACAATTGTTAATGCTGTCTCTTACACAGTATTAGAGAAATCTTAGAAGTTTCTTTGGTCTTGACTAGCTTTCTTGTTTGAATTATCAGATAACTTTAATTAGTTACTGACAAGACTTTGGAAACATTTAGTAAAAGGGAAAATCAGTTACACATGAACTTCTGAAAATAAAAACTAGTCTGTTTTTCTGTTCTTGTTTGACTAATAAAAATGTAATTTTAGACAACATAATGAATGATAATGAGAAATGAATTTATGAGAATCAAAAACAAAGAAAATCAGAGCTAAATCCAGGACAGCCTTCAATATCTCTGCCTAAACAAAATGTGTTGGTAGGATTCAAACCAAATTGCTACAACAAAACATTACTGAACAATACTGTAGTGAGTAACTGGCTCATTGAATGCCATATTGGAACAGAAAAGAGTTTTTTTTTTCTGAGGTAGTGAGTCAATTTGTGAGTTTATTGTATGACAACACACTTCTTCATGTTGCAAATGCAACATGGCAAAGTATCATGCACCCTGAATGCTCTTGGACATGCAGCACATTCTCCAAGCCTTGTTTCATTCTCTGCAATGCTCTCTCTTGACTGGTAGGCCTTTCCAATAAATTCAAGAAAGTTCCTCAAAGAATATTTTGTTCTTATGATGGAATGCACAGATTATCTGAAAAGTGGCAGAAAGTCATCAAAGGCCACGGAAAATATTTTAATGATTAAAGAATAATGCTGTCAGTTTATAAAATATAATAATTTAAAAAATGTTTTGTAAAAAATTCCTGGAAACTTTTGTCCCAAATAATCCTGTTTGTGTTCCTCTTCTATGCAGTTAATTTAACCTGAAACAATAGCATAGCAAAATCACTTTTTATTATTTTTTTTATCCCAGTACTTATGATAATAAATAACTATGCAAATCAAATTATGTTTATACTAAGGATATAAATTCCACTTTACTAGAAACAAATGTAAATATTTACTTTGATATGAATCATCCTTGACATTTCAGAGCTGAGGTATTTCATTCCTTATTTTAGCTTATCAATTTAATTTTAATAAATGCAAAGGTTAGTTTTCTTCGTAGAATGATACATGCTGTCATGTTAATTATATTTAAAGCTTTTAAATAATAATCTGGAGCAAACGATTAATACTGAATGTTTTTATGATTAGAGCTCTCATCTTGTTTTTAACATGACAAAAACTTACTAAATTGCAGTCATTTTTATTCAAATTGAAATTTTCTGAGATTAATGTAAATAAAGCAAAGAAATCTATAATTCTTTACTTGATCTCATTTTTGCATTCTTGCTTTCAGTTCAAATTATTCACAAGAAATTTGACTGAAGGAAAAACACAAAATTTAATTTAAAAGTGAAATTTTCCAAAAGAAATTTTTTATTTATCATTTAAGATACCAAATTATGAGTCTTATCTTAAGACTTTTGGCGTGTCCAGTAACCATAGTAGGTTGAGCTAGTAAGCCAGTAACAATTACAGGTCTAGTTCTTTGGGATACTGTTTCCCACACTCTCCAAGAAAATCAGAAATGCCAAAATGCTTATACAAAAGATGAATCCAAAAAAATTGTTTGGTGATGAACCTTACCAAACACAATTATCTCATGTGTTTTTTGAAGTTGTTAAAATAGTCTTTAAATTGCTTATAATGTGAATTTATGCTTTGAAAAGAACAAACAATCTGAATGAATGCCTTGTAAAATGAATCTTGAAACTGGGAAAAAAATTTTTTTTTTTTTATGTTTGCAGATTTGTCGAGAGATTAGTGATGCAGAGAAGAGCATTGAAGATTTGAATAAAGCTATTCGCGACAAAGAAGATCAACTGAAGAAAGCCCAGACACGACTTGAAGCTCGCTCTCATCGTCCAGGAGTTGAATTATGCAGAGATATTCCTCAGTACAAGTAAGTTCATTGTTCATTCTGAGTAGAGAAAAAAGGGGTATTTTTCATCTTGGATATTGCACATAAAAACATAGAAGAAAAAATGGTATCCCATAATTAGAAAAAGTGATATGAAGTTTAATCAAACTTGGAAAGACATTAAAATTTAGGACATTGAATCAAGATTCAAATTGTGGTTTTATCATAAATACCAGCCCTATGAAAGAGGCAGAGACTTGTTCCTTCAACAGATCATTCTAGTTGTTTAAAAATCAGTTTGACATGTGTTATAACATTACAAAATGACTTTGGTCATTCACAGGAAAATATCAAAGTGCTTCTGAATGTGTCTATGCCAGTTTTATGTTGCTTAAATGCTATATGAGAATGACAGACACACTTCTCTACTTGATCTCTTCCTTACCTCCTGCCGAGAATCAAGTTGTGATCTACAATCCTGTCAACTTGGCAACTCAGACCATGTGGTAGTGTCTATAGATATCTCTTTCCGCTTTCCCATCAGACAAAAGAACCCTATTAACAGAATATCTTATCAATGCACTGATTGGGACTCATTTTGTGATTTTCTCTGCAATGCCCCCTGGATTGATATTTTTAATCATCTTGTTGAGAAACATGCAACTGAGGTCTCTTTCTGGGTTGGGTGAAAGTCGGTACCAAAGCTTTTGTGCCAGCACAGAAATATCAAATGAAACCGCAATTTCTCTTCAGTTCTCTCTCACCTGTTCAGCTACTATAACTCACAGGAATCACTTTCCACTATATCAGAGCAACAGGTCTAATTCTAATAGATGTCTATTTATCACCACTTGTTATGAATGTAAGCATGTTCTCAAAGATGCAAAGTCACTATTTGCAGACACAATGAGATGCTGTATAGCTTATCACAAGTTTGGTTCTGGAGATTACTGGCGGCTCTGCAAGATTGTACTGAACAAGAGCAAATCCTCAGTCCTTCCTCTCTTTAATCAATTTGAAGAGCTGTCATTTACTGCAGATAAGAGCAGAGTGTTTTGACTGGAAATTCTCTTCCAACACTCTTGACTTATCTGGTGTATTTCTTCCTGATTTCCCCCCATAGAACAGAGTCTCTACAGAGTGATATGCACATAACTCCTTCCATGGTTTCTACTATCATTTCTAAACTAGATCCCCACAAGGCTTGTAGATTCAATGGTATCCCTGCAATTGTCCTGAAGAAATATGCTTCTGAACTGGCTCCTGTGCTTTCTAATGTTTGCAATAAATACCTCACTACTTCCTGCTTTTCAGCTTGTTGGATGTCCTGCTGTAGTTCTTATCTTAAGAACTCTGGAGAAACCTCAAATTATCAACCTATTAGTCTCTTATTGCTTTTTGGCTAAGTATTAGTGGCACTAATCAATGCTAAATTGGTTAAACATCTTACTTCACACGACCTCCTTTTGGATAAACAATATGGCTTCTGTTTCTCCAGGTCTACCATTTATGTGTTAATGGCCATCACAGAATTTGTCTATCAGGCTTTAGATAAAAATGGCAAGCTCAGACTATTGTACTAGATTCTCAAAAGCATTTGACAGGGTTTGGCATGCTGTCCTTCTTTGCAAGCTCAAGAGCTAGGGCGTCTCTGGACAAATATTTGGCCTGATCCAATTGTACCTAACAAATTGTATCATAAAGGTCATACTGAATGGACATGCTTCTTATTCATTTCATATTAATGCAGGGGTCCCCTCAGGATCTATCCTTGGTCCTATGCTGTTTCTGATCTTTATCAACAACCTTCCCAATGTCAGTTCCTAACTAAGTACCAATGCAGATGAAACAACAATATATTCCTGTTTTAGTAAGACAGATCTGATAAAATAAAACTGACAACTGCACTTGAAAATGATGTCCAATCACTGGTTAATTGGAGCAAGGAACAGCTTGTAAATTTGAAAACCTCAAAAACAAAACTGCTTTAATTTAATCACCAGAGAACCTTTTCTGTCTTGATGCTGAATTCAAGGTGAGCAGCACTTTACCCCTTTTGGGGCTCACACTTTCCATTGACATGAAGTAGAATGATTATATTGAATCAATTGCTAGGTCTATTGCTAGGAAATTTGGTTCACTATATCATGCCAGATATCTCATTCTTCTCATCAGAATCCTTCTTTCACATTTATAAATCCACCATTTGTATTGTATACTGCTTTTTTATCTGGTCTGGTGTGCCTACTATATATTTCAAGATTCTTTACAAAATTCAAAGAAGTGTGTGCAATGTAATTGATCTTGACCTGGCATCTCAACTTCAGTCACTTTCTCACTGTCATGATGTGGCTTCCCTCTGTCTTTTTTATAAATATTTTCATGGCAATTGCTCTGATGAGCTGTTCTTTTTAGTGCTTCAACTGCATGAATTTAAGCAGCCTACTAAATTTACAACTCACTCACCATTTTACTGTTGATCTATCTAAATGCAACTATCAGTTCTATTCTAATAGTTTCTTTTCTCACACTTCTCACCTGTGGAACTCCCTTCCAATTTCTTGCTTCCCTGCCATCTAAAATCCTCAAAAATTTAAATGCAACATCAATCGCCATATTGTGTCTTCCTGAACCCTGTTTCTTTATTGTCCTTTTCCTTACTTCTCCTCACTAGTGTTCTCCTTCTCTTTCACTCCCTGTAACCCCCTGTGTCCTAGTGGCATTACTGCTCTACTTAAGGTGAAATGATTAAAACAAAGGAAAAAAGTCAACAGAATGTGAAAAATGGCCTGTTTTGAGAAGATTGGTGCATAAATGGAAAAGAAATGAATGAGTGGGTCAATACATGTTCCTTTGGTGATTGGAGTTGGTCTGTGATTGAGGAGATGTGTAAGCTGTAACTAATGCACGATACACAGCACATTAACATGTTAGAACTTCAGGATGTTGACAAGAGTTAATCTTAGGGTTGATTCTCTTACGAACTGGTAAGGCAATGTTGAAATCCAAGATCACTTGTGAGGTATACAATTATTTGACACTTATAGACTGTAGCTTTGCATGCGTCTCAGTTGGACAACTGGAGGATTATGGAAGTGTTATGCACCCACCAGCTGAGCTCTTTATGAATAATGACTCTGCATTCCACAGCAAGAATGTTTGAGATTTTCTGGTTTTAAGTGGGCTATCTTGTTACATTTGCAGTATGCTTGATTATGAAATGAAATGGTGGATAAATGTTACAAGAAGCAAAATATTCTATATGTTAGCTGCACTTGTAAATAAAATCTACACCTATGAAGTTTGGTTAAAAAGTGCTGATATAATGCTTTTGTTTGGAACATGAGGTAAAGTATGACATCTACAAGGTTGGAAACATTATCTAAGTGATAGCATCTCAGAATTTGGATTAGCGGGGTCATTCACAATCTGTTAAATTTCATAAAATCGCATATTGTGCTAAGGATGTTTGATTTTCTTCAAATTCTATCAACACGTTGCAAAGCATCAACAGCATATCTATCCTCTGTAAGTGAAGTTATCATCCTGTTAGATTTAACATTTCATGAAACTTTAGATGTTACTGATGCAATTGGTGATGAACATGATCAAGTGGAGAAAGCACTCCAGGTTGGGATACTTCTATTTTCTGAGGAATCACCCAACAGATGGGTTCACCCATTGTCCGGTTCACACTCCTCCCCTGTTCCCCAGTCTTTTGAACAGGAGTAGAGGTTTTCCCTTTTTTCCTGTTTAGGATTGGGTTTCCAGTTCCTTCTAATGTCTGCTTCAACTTTATACTCCTAACACTTGTTCTTTCCTATGCTAATATAAGTCCACACAGTGACTCTCTATCTTGAGTGGCTCTTGGATCTTGTATTATGTGAACATTGGTTTGGTTTTTAAAAAAAAAAAGAAAGAAAGCTGCCATCATGTTGTTGCTGTGATGAGGAAATCAGTAAACAAGTGTGGCAATGACACTGTACCAACCAACAAACACCAGTGATAAATCTGGCTGACACTGGGACTATAAATCCTCTTCAGTCACAAGAAGAAAGTAATATGGCTGCTCTAAGTGTCATATTACTGAAAAACAAATCAAATTGGGGATTTGTTAGTTATCAGTCCAATACTGGCTGCAATCTTTGGATTCTAGAAAACATTAAATGATATATTCAGACATTTTAAATATGTGAATTCTTTCAGACAATATATATATATTCATAGATATTAAATAATGAGTTTTAAGATGTTGTATTCATCATGAATACAACATAATCAATGTTTTCTGTGTGGCATCTATTCATTCTTTCATTCTTATGCCATACTTGGCTTTTTTGTTTGCAAATTCTTTATCTTCTTCTTTCTTTGTTTCCCTCTCTTTTTCTTTCTAATCTTTCTTTTGTTTTTATCTTTCATTAGTGGGAATTCATTTGGGGCTGAAACATCAGAGAAGAGAATGAAATATCAATAACAAATTTCTTTCATTATGTCATTCATGTAAAAATGTTGAGTTAGTTGGTAATTTGCCACACAATAGTCACTTCGAATAAATCTATTCCAAATAAGTGTGTGTGCACATCTTCAAGGAAGCATTCAAGCTGATGTCCTTAAAGCAAAAAGGCAAATGAAAATTTCTTCTATACTTTTTCATGTAGATGAAAAAAAAACATGGAAGAAATTCCATTTTGTTATTGAAAACAACAGCCAACTCAAACAAACAATGTCACTTGTTGGTATTCCAATCAAACATCAAATCTTTTATGATTTAGTCTCAATTCAGTGCTTTTTTTTGGTAATTGCAGAGAAAGTGCACAAAATTAAAGGCAAAGGTTTTTTCCATTGCCTCTTATCATCAGTGCAAAAGAATCAATCTTGTAGAAATACTTTAGCAACAGATTAAACATTTCAATCAGGCAATATCAAACTTTGCCAAATTTGTTGATTTTTGTACTAAGAATTTTGAATTTTACTTTGTTTATATATTGTGTATGTCTTTCTATGTATTTCTATGCATTTTGTAATGTGCTTAAATTTGCATAAATTACATCAGAGAATTATTTTCTTGCTATTGAAGGTTGATTTCCGAAGTAGATGAAATAAACAATGCCATCACAGCTTTGACTGAACATCGTGATGGATCTAACCAGTTGAAGAATTTACAAGACACTCGCATGTGTCTAGAAAAGGAACTTTCCAACAAAATCAATTCAATCTTCATCGACCGCCAGAAATGTCTGACAGTGAGGGAACGCTATCCATCTTCTCTGAGACTCAAAGGATTACAGTAGAAGTTGGATGTAGCCCTACAAGAAATGGCTTTCTTCAAATGACCACCCACAATGGCATTTTATTAATATTTTGATTTTAGTTTGTCAAATAAAACATTTTTTCCTCATTTTCCTTTGATCAGTGTTTCAAATTAATTGATTTCTTTTTCACTTTCAGAAAAGTGGCCTTTTCAATAAAATTTTCAAATTCAGATTGTTTTCTAGTTTTGATTGAATAATTTAATATCTAAAAAAAATTATTAAAATGATGGATGTAACTTTAAAGAACAAACTTGTTATAAGCAATCATTTTTCATTATTTTTCGTAGTTTTAATGTTTACTTACTTCTAGTGTAAATCAACAAAAAAACATTAAACACAATTTCCTATTAATCTAATACTGATAGGGTTTTTTGAGCATCTTTCCATTTCTGTTTAATAGAAAAATTATATAGGAGGGAAGATGTTTGACAAACTGGAAAAAGGTTTTTGTGATGTGTTTAGTTCTTTAGGACTTCAGGCTAGGTTTGTTTATGTTGATGCAACTACACATGAGACACTGGGAATTTAAATTTTTTTATATATATGTGTTTTGGGTATAAAATCTATCCAATTTAATTTAGATTCTTTTTCTTTTTGTTTCTGTCATCTTTGTTAGTAAATATTCCACATTGTGATAACAGAAAATCTGCCAAGAATGGTGAAACGGAAGAACCTGGACACAAATTTACTGTAGATTAACTAGTGATTAAAGCATTTTCTAGACATTTTCATCTCAGTAAGTTGTTTTCTCTTTTAATTAGAATAGCATATTTTATGTCAAAATTGTGCTCAGTCTCATTATGGTGAGCAACTAATGTGTTTAATGTGTTACTATTTAAAATGTCTCTTTTGTGTTCATATAATATTTTATTTAAATTTCTTGAGGTTTCTCAAATATATTCTTTCTGGCAATCCTTGCAGAAAATTCATTCTTCAAGTTTTGGCTTGTTTTGTTTTGTATTGATTATGTCTTTTATCATTTTAGATGAAGTAACAAATTTTATGTTGAGTTTAGATAAATTCTTTTTGATTGTAGTTGTAATGGGTAAAAAATATATTTATTTTTATTTGTTGGGAGGGCCTGCTTTTCTATTTTGGAATATTTTATGAGACTTTTGTTTCACATTGAATATGAAATAGGGTATTGGAGAGTCTTAAAAGTATTTTCAATATATTTCTCCCCTTTGTATAGATTAGGTACTTCCACAGATTCACAATACTTTAAATTTAATTTTTAAAAATGAAAAATCTTTCTTGAAGCTTTTATTTTAATTTCAAGCTAATAGATTAAATTTGATATTTCCAATAAGCAAAATACTTCCTCCCTGAAACTTTATTTGAGGAATATTGACTGATATAATTAATCTGATTTGAAACAAATATTATTTACTTTAGTTTAAAATATCACAGATGTATTTTTCTAACATAGTGGTAGCTGTTTATTAAAATTGTTGACATCTTTGGTAGATTGTTGACAGATTGATGTTTATCTAATATTGTCAGCAGCCACTTCTGGCAAACCCAACAAACCAAAAAAATATTGTTCTACCCACTAATTTTGTATATGTGTTGGTTATATCTTATGCATGTGTAATGTAATGTAAGATTTTTCAAATATAGAATGAAATCTATTGCAAGATGAATTTTTTTTTTTTAATCATTAAAAATAAAAATATCCAAAGAAAGCTAACACAACATATAAGAAATAAAAACATCTTTATAACTGAAGACTTTTTGTCATTGATAATTATCAAAGATGAGAAATTTATATAATCAGGTATTTTAAGACATTTTTATTTTTATACATTCTTTTTATAGATACAAATATTTAAGTAAATGCCCTGTTTATAATAAACAGTGTTAAATAACATTTACCAGCCTGAATGTCCAATAAATTTTCATAGAAAATATTCATCCTCTGACAGGAATCGAACCTGTATTCTTTACGGAAATGTCATATAGCCTGACGTGCCTTTAAATGATTGGGCCTCAGAGGAGCGTTCGGTTAGCAAGGTTGATTTTACTGTCTTTAAACTACAATCGCCTTTGCTAACCGAACGCTCCTCTGTGGCCAAATTGGTTAAAGGCACGTCAGGCTATATGATGGTTCCGTATAGGATACAGATTCAATTCCTGTGGGAGGACGAATATTTTCTATGAAAATTTCTTGGACATTCAGGCTGGTAAATGTTATTTAATACTGTTTATTATAAACAAGGCATTTACTTAAATATTTGTATCTATAAAAAGAATGTATAAACATAAAAATGTCTTAAAATAATTGTCGGACTTTGTCCATTTCATAATGATAATCAGGTATATTTCACATTGAAATTTTTTTCTTTTTTTTTTTCAGGACAACAATTTGATAAATTATTCAAATTAATATATTCCCATTTGTTCTTTGGATGACTATCGTTTCTCTCTTACTGGAATAATTTATGCCATAAAGATGAGGATGCTCTTCCAAATATGGAACCATGGGAATGAATATGTTGTGGAAGCGCAAATCCTACAAAGCTGTGTTCTTGGTTTTGTTATTTTTATCTGAGATTATATCATCCATTCCACAACATGTTAAATTAATATTCATGCACAATATTACTTGAAAACGTTATAAAAGGTGAACAGTTTTTGGTGTGTATGCAACAAGATATAATGTATTTATTAAATGATTGAATTTTAATTAAACATACAATTGCTTACATAATTAATTCATATTATTCACAGAACATACACACACACACTCATATATATATATTTGTATTAATGCAAAGGAAGAAATAGTTTTAGGCTTATCTGTACAAAGAAACATTTTTCTTTTGAGCTCATTTACGAAAACATGTCTTTCCTGTCCAACAGTTGGTGGTTCGAGAGAGAGATTTTGCATTTTCATGCCAAAACTGTCTTTCTAGCACATTATGGGAATTCTACTTACCCACCTATTTACTATAACCTAACAAGTCAGGGGAGACAACTCCTGCTTCTTATTTATGAATTGCTATAAATATTTGACACAACCATCTGGCAAGTCTTTCCTTCTCTTGTCTCACTTGACTTTCTTGTTCACAACTTTTTCCCTCTTTGTCTCCCTCTGTCATTCTGTCTGAACTTATGACAGACTTGATATTTGGTTTTAATTTATATTTATGAGTGGATAAAATATATATATATATATATGTGTGTGTGTGTGTGAAAAGTGTGTATATAAATATATATATATATATATATATATATAATTATGTATATATTATATGCGCGGTACTTATTAGAAAGCGCTCAATATCAGAGATAGAGAATCCAACCAAATATATATATATATATATATATATATATATATATGTAGGGTGCAATGGGTAAATTTTTAATTTTGAGCATGTGCATTCTTTGTTTTTGATTTAGTCAACTGCACAATATAGCAGAATCAGTTGGGCACCGTCAGTGAGAAAAAGAGCACCATGATGTAATTACTGCGCCAGAAATTTGGAAACGGCATATTGTACTGCTTGGCATTCATGCTGGAAGCTCCAGTACGAATATTTCAGAGTGCTTGGGTGTGTTACTATACTGTGCATTTGACAAAATCAAAAACAAACAATGTGCAAAGTGTACAATAAAAAAAAATTAAACTGTTCAGTCTTTCTCAGGCTTAACAGAAAAAGATGTGAAATAACTGAAGATACTGACTGTAATGAAAACAGGACAAGAGATTCTGTCTAGTAATCGTTTATTCAATTAAGAATACTACTACTCATCTGACTTGACAGCTACAGCTTTTATAACTTGGATTATCTAAGAGGAGATAATCCATATTCACAACATTCTCCCCCACCAAATTTCTCACTGATAGGGAAGAAAGTCCCTTAAATGTCCAGGCTCCCTACGAGTTCGCAGTGGCCGCCTCGGCAGTCCATGATTCGTGGTCGGAGTACTCGAACAGGGAGGCTCTTCAGTGCGAGCCTGTCTGTGGGCTCTAAAATACCTTGCTCCGAAATGTTTCCTTCTCAGAGGAGCAGGCCGTTCCGCGTCAGAGTCAGTCTCTGGATGAACACGTTTATTCGGTGCTAGCCCTTCATCTGTCAGGGTTTCAGGTGTTGGCCCATCCGAAGTGTCTGACAGGGCCTCAACGGAGACAGTGTCGTCAGACGGCGTGTCAGGAACAATTTCAGTGCCATGATCTTCCGGAGGGGCTTCAATGTCAGGGGTAGTTGGTCTGTCCTCAGGGGCTATCCACGGTCCGGGTACGTCTCCGGCCGGTGCTAGGTCCCTGAGAGACACATTAGACTCTCTACCATCTGCATGTCGTACTAGCGCGTACTGAGGGTTCGCCTCTATAAGCTCTACCTCGTCCACCAAGGGATCGTTCTTGGTGTAACGTGCATGTCGTCTTAGAAACACAGTGCCGGGTCGAGAGAGCCAAGATGGAAGCGAAGCTCCCGCCGAACTCCGTCGCTGGAAAGGTAGAAACCTTTCGTGTGGGGTGGCATTCGTGGCGGTACACAATAGGGAACGAATGGCGTATAATGCGACAGGAAGGAGATTTTCCCAATTATCAATTGAACATCCGTTATTTGAGGCAGCCAATTGAACGGTCTTCCAAATAATGCCGTTATATCTTTCGCATTGGCCGTTACCCTTAGGGTTGTAGGGAGTTGTCCGGCTTATAGCTACTCCTCGTTCCTGTAGAAATTGCCGAAGCTGCTCTGACATGAAAGAAGCCCTTCGGTCCGAATGTATATAGGCAGGGGCTCCAAAGATGGCGAACAGTGAGCAGAGGCATTGTATAATTGCAGCAGCCGATATGTCTGAACAAGGGAAGGCAAAAGGAAACCGTGAATATTCGTCGATAACCGTTATATCTGTTCCTTGTTTTACTTTGTAGCGGTCCTTTAAAATCAAGATTGAGTCTTTCAAACGGTTGTGTTGCTTTTATTAAAACGCCAGTTTGGGGTTTATAAAACCGAGGCTTTATTTCAGCA